AAGGGAAAGAATGAGTCAGATATTTTAAACACAGCATACAAATGCAGTTACAGTATACCAGTCACTAGGCCTACTCAAAAATTGTCCTTAGAATTGTCTAAGGGACCATTGGACTGAAACATTTTCACTGAATACCATCTTGAAAAAATTATTGTTCTTTCTCTACCGTGCCACAATGTTGTATCATATTCAGCTGCTAATGACTTTACTCTCCAGAGCATGTCACAGCTCTTCTATTGCAACTCCTGTTATAGATGTAAATAGGAATGGTGGCTTTTCCCCTTCTGAGTGTGGAACAGGTTCTTATGGTAGGTGCACTAGTCTAAATGTGGAATAACTACACTGAGAGCTTTAGTGCACTGAATGGAGATCAAAATCTGGTTTGTGTGTTTTATTGTTTTAAATGTCAAACTGGTGTGTTTGAACTTTTTTTTTAAACTAAACAGCAAATGCCTTTGTAAGCCTGCTCTGTTGGTCACTTGGTATAGAACTACCTGAACATTAAATACTTCCTGTCTTTATAAAATGATTTCTGTGCTATGCCTGAAAGATAATCTCCTACTAAATAGCAATCCATCATTACATTACATTTACCTCTGAAGCCACTGCTTGCTTGCTAGTTTTTCTGTTAGTTTTGACTGCCTGATCCTATTTATGTCTCATGTGGCTGTGCAAACATTTGACATATACCCTAATCTGCATATATGTGAAATAAGCAATGCTTGGAAGATCAGCCTGAATAAATATGTTTCACTAGTTTGTTTAATTATACTGGTCAATTCTAACTTTCTTTTGAATTAAAAATGTATTATTTTTTGTCAGATTTCTCGTCTCCCTCCTTTCTACCGCCCTGAATTTCTCCTTTCAGTGTTGTGCCTGCACCAAGACCTCCTGGGTAAAGGGGAAAAACAGCTGCAGGAAACTGTTAGCCTTTTCCGGAAATGTCAGACATTGAACCTGGGGTATGTCCACCTGGGCCAGCAATTCAAGGTCAATGTCATTTTCTAACAGGGAAAGAATATCACTTGAAGGAGTGACTCACCTATTCCAGTGTAAGAAGATTTTAAATCTCATTTGAAACATAATGTGTCTGCTTTAAAGTACAGTCTCGTGAATTGTTTCATAGCACTGCAGAAGAGACTTTTCATCACAGTGCACCTTGCTAGATGTTTCTGGTACTACTCAGATATTTATTGTAACTTCAGCAAAATGCGTGTCCTCTTGTGAGTTTGTGCATCTCAGTATATTGTGTATGATTACACATACACCTCACTTAAAGGTTCAACACACTCACAAAGTCCTGCACATATTCTTTGTGGTCACCAGGTCTTTTTATTCCTCTCATCTAAGGGAAGAAGCTCTAGGGGGCCACTTGAAAACTTTGTTTTTGTTTGATAAAGCTACTTTGAGTATTGTCATCTAAGATATCACACAGGATTTGGTGGTTCCCTCGGGATACACACAAGAGTTGGGGCCAATTCTACCCTCACTTATAGCTGTGAAAACCCTCTGAGATCAATGGGATTTTATTGGTGTAACTGAGTTCAGAATTTGGGCCCTGCATTTTTTCCTCACAGGACTTCCATTGCTTTCTGCTGAGGTCACTATAAGTATGTACACCTGCTTTTCCACAGGACTGTATCCATGTAAAAAAATAGTGAGTGGTGGCAGTGGCACCACTGTAGGTAGGATTGCAGCCCAGATAAGGGGATTTCAGAGCAATAGGGGATATGAAACACACGGGGCAAACTTCTGCTCACAGTTACACAGGCACAAGTGCCACTAAAAATGCAAAGGGAACTGCAGGTGTGTAATTAAGAGCAGAATCTGGCTTTGTATGCAATTCTGTACCTAGGTATTAAATCCTAGGCACAAGAAGTGAGTAGCAGACTCTGTAGTAACTGTAACTCCTAATTTTCTTGCCTTTGTTCATTAATATCTTAACTTCAATAATATATACTTTTTTCTTTTTTGTTATAAATATATATTTCTTACTGTTTGATCTACTGTTGTTTACTTCGTTTTTATGCTCTAAGCAGATATAGTTATGTAGAGATATAAATATACATACAAGGAATACAATGAGGGGCAAAAGTGCTGAAAGCATGGGATATAGAAAGAAAAGCACGGCCATAACATCAGAACAATCAATAAACCAAAATGTGCTGAACCCTCTGTTCATAGTCCTGGCATAGTATTTCCACTGCAGGTGGGATTTAAACCAGAAACAACTCTGAAATGGGTCACTTCTGGAAAACAGATATACAATGAAATTGCATGAACTCTAAACAAACACAGACCTTGAAAAAACAAACAGGCATTACCTCAAATAATTTTTACTCAGGTTTCAAGTGTCCCATTTTATATCCAACTATAGGAAATGTAAAATCTTTTTCTGTAGGAACAGTGATTTCTCTCTCTTTCCTGGTTCTTTTTTGTTCTAATTTTGGACCTGCTTCTCCTCTCATGACTTCAATCTGAGCAGGAATGGGCTCTCTTCTTTCATGGGGCCCCTTAGACCTCCATAATTAACACATGCTAACACTTCAGCAACTCTAGAAGATTCCTGCCTGTGTTTCAACCTGCAACCCCTCCATATTACAATTGTTAGATCCCCCTTGCTAAGTTCTCAGATTTACAGGGGCAGGCCCTCAGCTGGAATAAATTGAAGGACTTATTCACTGCAAATAATGGTGGAAAATAGTCTATAAAAGGACATTCACTTCAGCAAGTAGGCAGCTTCCCATCATGCAGCTGCATCTAAATTTTATATGAAATACTACACACAAACAAATCCAGCCTTCTTTCTTATATGAAAAGGCAAGCCTATAGTGGTAATAGCATCAGAAAGACATTGGTACTATTTATAGTATTGCTGCATTATAGAAAAGTAGTGAATTCACTTAGTAGTCGTGTTTTCTACTTGCATGCTGGGATGATGCTAGAAGAGGCCACAAATCCCCAGTTTGGGTTTCACCTTTGACTATCATGAGTCAGCCTACAGTTCACCATCAGTGCTAGAGCCAGAGTGTCTGGACGCTGCAGAGTTTAGCAGGATTCTATTGAAACATCATGTTCACTTCACCAAGGGCTTCTAAAGGTCCGCAATGTGGATGTCCAAAATGTGTGCAAGCTCACAGCCTATGAGTCCATCTGAATGAGGCGATGTGTGAGTCCTTTTCTGTCAGTTACTCATGCAGATGCTGTTGGCTAACATCTTCCACTGATACATTCAACAGGTAACTACATAAATCCCCAACTAGAAGTTTGTGCTTCCCCGAAATGGATACTAGCGTTCTCCTTGCAAGGTTATACCTGTATGTATCTATTATTCTTTGTTTCCGCATGTAGGCATATATTAATATAGAGAAAGAGAGATACGGGGAAACATAGCATATGTGTAGTATACATAATAACTTGCATTGTTATAACACACATACAGGACCTCTGCCAGTGAACAGTGAGATCTTCCAAGTGACATGCAAAGAAGCCTAAAGGTAGCTGATCTCACCTCTTACATGTAACTGTTTTGTTCAGCAGCAAATGCATCAGCTGAATAATTTTTCCACTTCAAATCCAGCCCTTTTTATCCTCTTTATGTATTTATTTTTGTAAGGGTTGTGGATCCACTGTTTATTCTCAGGGGATGCTGTCCATTGCAGATATTTGTTTTGTTCGAGAAATGGCACTTCCTACTAGATGGAGACGGGACACAAGATCACCTTGTCCTCCAGAAGGACACTGATGACCAGGAATATGAAATAGAGACCAAACATGGTGAAGCCCAAGAATTTATTCATCCTCCACTTGCAGAGCGCAATGGAGAGGATGACAAAGAGCAGCATGATGAAGAGGAGGACGATAGCACAGAACAATCCATTGCTGCTGACAATCACCGGGGTGAAGCCGTTAATTGCAGCATACAGGAGCCATGGAAGGGGAAGACTGAAAAACACAAAGAGAAATTGGAAATGCCATAGAGAAACAAAAAGTGGTATTAAGAATACTCTGGAGGCACTTCAACATAAAGCTGTTGATTTAAACATAATGAAGCCCATCTAATAGGCTAGTGCAGGGACACAATAAGAGAGGCATTAGGTAACATACTAAAAAGAAAAATTCTGTACTGGGCCTTGGGGGATGGACTAGATCGGGCTGAGCAGCAGGTGTGGCTAGGCTGACACAGATCCTGTTTCTCAGCAGTTACGTCCAGAAGAGGCCAAGGCACAGATTGGCAGGTTGCAGAAGACTGGGCCCAGTGTACAAGGTGGTGAGGAGAATGGGATTGCCTATTTTTTGTGTCTGCACAGCACCTAGCACAATGCAGCCCTTTGGGCACTTCCAAAATACAAATATTTACGACTACTTTTCTGCTGCCCTCTCCACTGTTGGGAGGTGTGGAGCTGATAAGTGGACGGGAAATTAATGTAAATGAGTTCTCTATGCTCCCAAGTATCCTATACTTTCTTGACCCTCTTTTCACATTTTCCCAGTCTCCTCTCTATTCCCTACTCAGGCTAGTCCAACCACAAGCCTCCGCAAAGGGTGAAGGACCAGGCTCTCATAACTTGCAAATAAGCAACTAGGTTATTTTGTGTAGGAGACAGAAGTGGAGATATCTAGGGGACTCCCTTCTCTTCCTCCACCAATTGCCATGAAGAGCTCTTTGTCACGATGGAGTGTTTCCTGCCTGCCTCACAGCTTGCAGCTATCAGCTAGGAGGCTGTCTGTAAGCTGTGTGGCCCATTCCATTTGTTCCTTTCAATCTGCTGGGGAGAAACCTAGCCCCTGATATCATACCAAACAGCCTGATTGCCAAATGGGCAGTGGTTCCATGCAGTGTCACAGATCTGCACCTGGAAGAGAGGAGAACACAGAATCTCTGATTCTCTGGCCGTGGAGCCTGGGCAAGTTGGGGAAGCAATGGCCCTCATGTTTTGGCCCTCAAAGCTTCTTGATGCACACCTAGAATATAACACTATGCAAAAATGTTTGAACTTAAGCTTAACTTCTATTTCTGTGCTTGATGTTACTGCATTTTCCATTCTGGTGCTACAGTGTGAGGCAACATTACTCTGGAATATGTCAAATAGAAATAAATATTTAAGCCATTGACAGGAGTTTAGCAGAGCTTTGAACAGGTAGAAAAAATGTCTGAAGCTCACATAATTCAAACTATATCATCTCTGACTAACCTGATCAAATGGGAATAATTTTTTACAGCCTGAGTAGTAACTAAACTGGAAACACAGCTGAATTCTGCCATTTTTAATCATAACTAAAGCAGAGCTTCCAAGATATACAAGGCACCTTACATTTCCAGAGATAAAAGCTAAAACATTTGAAGAAAATAAAAGGCTACATCTGAATATTGCAAAAAAAACCTTCTTGCAATATGTCCACTGCCTATGTTCTAAATAAATGCACTGAGGACGCTTAGTGATTTAATGTGTGTAGGTATCATATTTATGAGTTGATTATTTAAAAACAAAACATGCCACTGGGTTCACCATACTAATGAAGAGCGAGGTCCAGAGTCTCAGCTGAGCCCAAAGTGATGGGGATAGCTGACAGGTGGTGGTATAAAGAAACCATTTGTACTCCTCCCCAATTTCTGGGGACTGTTCCGTATCAGCCCAGCCAGTGGTGTAATTTAGAGCATCTCCAGGACTGCTCTACATTGCTTCAGCTGCTGATGGCCTGCAAGGGTTGTTCTGGGAGGTGGGATTGCTGGAGTGCCCCTTAGACTGAGTGTTGGGGTGTTCTGCTGTCCCTTCACCACACGGATCCTCCTGTGACAGGGTAATAGTCTATCAGCCAAATACTCTCATCTTAAGTGTGCTGTGTGTCAGGGGTCTTACACACAGCACATTTAAAGGGACAAGGATCTGCCTCAAGAATTCCCAGAATTTTTTGGCAAAACCCTTCACATGCCAGAAAGTGAGTGTGCAACAACATAGGAATGTTCCATTGAACTGCACAAAGCAGAATTTGGCCTTATATATGTACTCGTCTGGAGGTGTGGGGAAGAGGATTGTGCCTCTTACCCTGCATTAACCATAATTTTACCCAAAATACTAAGTGCGGAATGGTGGTATATGTTTGTTCCTATGAGTCAGTACAGAAATGGAAATTCTTGTATGGAGACGACTCAATCCCACAGTTTGTTTAGTCTCCACTCAAATACTATTTTAAGTTTCTCCCATGACAGCACTTTATCTTGTTAAAAGAAACTACACTTTATGGGCCATATTCTTTCCTCAGCAATGCTGGTGAACTCAGTTGATATCAGTGGTGTTGAACTGGAGGATGTCAATGAGAGGAGAATTTGGCCCAATAACCTGTTATTTGCACATTAGAATCAATCTGATTATCAAAAATATAATGTGAAATCTCCTCCTGCTGACATCTGATGGCAAACAAATAACTTTGGGGATGGTGATATTAGAGGTGGCCAGATTCTCAGTTATTCTTAGGGCAGAGATGGGGGGGCAAAGGTGACTTTAACCCCCCACATCCTGTATTTTGAGGCAGCCAGGAACCTGCCTGGCCCTGATGTAAGTTAAAACAGCCTCAAGGAGCCTTTAACTTGTGCTCAGCTTCCCATGGCCCCGATGGGGCAAACAATGCATTACACCTGTCCATACCCCTGATCACCATTATACCAGGGGCTGGAAGCAGGGCTGGTGTAGAACCCTTTTGCTCTATAGTTGCCAGGGAGGCCCCCTGCACAGAGTGTATCCTCAGGGTGCCATTTCTCTCCACTTTAAGGCCTCCCTTCAGTGTCAGAACTATGTGAAGGGGCCTTAGAATAACAGAATCAGCGCCTGTATGTCTGGATTTGTCAGGCTTTATCTGGAGGGTGGAACACTAAGTGGTACAGACTACAGCTGGGCAGCTACTGCAAGAACAAAAAAAGCATTAATGATCACTGATCACACAGACAGCTGTAGTATGGAAACTGTGAACAAAAGGGGCCAAATCCCAAACTGCTGACTAAAGCAAAGCATGCTTTGAATACGATACCTGCAACAATATTCTTAAATATTTTTAAAATGTGAAATTTACCTGACTGAATGGTCCCTTAAACAAAACAAAACAAAACAAAACAAACAAACAGCAAATTGGAGGCTCAAACAACTGTTTTATAACAAGCTTATTTAACAAATATTCACTTTTGACCTGATTATACAGTAACTTTGATACAAATCAAGAAAGACAGTAAAGCATGTTGCATGTGTAAGATACTGTATTTTGAAATCTATTTCTGTTACATTCAAAAGAGCAGAAAGTAATGGTAGCTAACACTATGACAAAACATTTAAGTTTTTATAACTTAGCCATAATTATCTTTGTGCAGTACTTACCCCACTGTGATGTCAAAGATGTTGCTTCCAACAGAGCTGGATACTGCCATATCACCTAGGCCTTTTCGTGCCACAATAACACTGGTAATTAGATCAGGAATAGAGGTGCCTGCAGCTAACATAGTCAATCCCATGATTTCTTCACTAATGCCAATGGTCTCGCCAACCTAAAAGGTATTGGGAAAAGTACAAAAGAATGCAGAGAGGTCATGGGAGGAATGGGCATTCTTTGCTGTAAAGTTAGTTAAAATGGAAACTCACCTCGGGGCATATTCTAGCCTCAATCTTTGGTAGAATGTCAATGGAAAGAGAGTAGAATATGCTCCCAAGTTTTTGGAACATGACATTTTTTAGTTTTGGAATTAAATCATCAAGATGACCCTACTGACTGAGTGACTTTTCTAATACTTACTGCTAGTCGGGAGAAAAAGAACACGTTTATATTATTAATGAAGCAGTCAGTAAGGGGAGAAGTGGTTGGTTGCTTCTTTAGGGCCAAATACTGCCCTGAGTTGCATGAGTATGCTCTGGGGATGTAAGAGGAGAGGGGTCTGTAGGTAGCAGGGCATGAGATCTATGTGCTAATGACAGTACATTGTTACTGCGCCCGCTGGTGCTTTGCAGCCCCAAATAACCATTTTCTGCCAGTATGGGGATGTGGTTAGACCCTCAGCTGGCTAGCATGTTTTGCAGTGTCCTGGATGTGCTAGTAGGATATGCACACTGCTGTTTTTAAGGGTGCAACAGAGTGCATATCCTACTGCTTATTCTACCCTGAGCCATCCTACCTTGTGCTGACAAGATGGATCTAGGACCCACCACACAGCTAATAAAACTTTACTCCTTCTCCTTGACAACCATGGCTTCAGCAGCTAAGGGCAGCCCTTAGCTTCCAAGTTGTACAGGCAGAGACTTTGCTTTTAGTTGTGTGTAGCTTTACTGAAGTACAGTGGCATTTAAACTTACTGCACTAGATAAATAATAAGAAATTACTAGTGTGACCAATTCTGTATATGTCTCAGAAGGCAAACCACCCCCACTAATGGCAACATCAGGGTTTGCAATAGAATTTCAACTGGAGCTTGCAGTGATTGAATCCTTCTGAACCTCTGTGAATCAAGCTACATGGTTCAGCTGGTGAATCCCTCAGAAACCGAACAATGCATGATTTGCACAGTTCTGGTTTTCAGACAAGAACAAACACTTAAGAAAAATATGAGGCTAAGGAAAATGACGCTAAAATTTAGACAAACATGCGGAAATGACAGGAAAAAATGAATAGAAATCAGCACTATGGAAAAGATATTTCCTTTCGTAGGTCACCTTTACAAGGATTCAACTCACTCAAATGTATTTCCATTAAGGCTGAATCCTGCAAAAAGACAAAAATCTCCATTGAGTTCAATGGGAGTTTTGCCTGAGGAGGACAGCAGGAACTGGGCTATTGTTAAGGATGAAATTCTCCCCAGCAAGCATGCAGGGCCTTTGCAAGACTCTTTGCTCCACGTAAGCCCTATGATGTTACTGTCAGGTGAGAGGGGTCATGGACAGAGTGACTGAGAGGGGGTCTACACGCTAAGCCCATATAGGCCTTTGCATCATAGTTCCAGGCTAAAGAGGAGTAGCCCACATAAGATTTTCAAAGAGGCATTATTTACATAGCTATCAGTGAATGGTTGTTGCTGGTTCTAATGCGAACAGAATGATCAAACATTTGTCAGCAAATGTCCACGACCCACCTGTCCAGACACTGAGTAGTACTTTCCTCTGAGAATCATTCCAGCTTGCAGAATAAGGGGTTACTCAGCATGTGGTAGGGTTGCAGAATCTGGCCCTAAATGACTATCACAAACAGAGACACATAGGAAAGCTTACATTTCACACCTTTATCATTCTCTTACCTGATGTGCCCACCAGACCATTAAATAAGAAAAAACTGCTATCCAAGTGATTGCTCCAAAGAATGTGACAGGAAAAAATTTCCTGGAGGACTGAAAGAGAAATAAAACAGAAATAGTGTGCATTTATGTTAAACATTGACCAATGCATATACAGTCCCTAAACAAATTCAGAATTACAAACATATAGTGATCTAAGAAAGTTAGAAGAGGATTAAGTAGCTGCATGCCCTGATCCTGCAGTTCTTACACAGGCAAACCTCCCACTGACTTCAATAGGAAAATAGCCTATCTCAGGACTTTAATATCAGACCCATAGCGGTGATCCTGATCATACCGAATAGTAAATATTAGTCTGCCATTCATTTTGTATATTCTTAGGCCGAAATTTGCTTCAGTGCTTTACTGAATCAGGGCCTTGGCTTTGAAAGGGGAAAACGGCTGTAACAGGCTATGATATTCTTTAGAGCCATTTTCCACTTTTGAAGTGATTCCTTGTGAATAAAAGTTATTCATATTCAAGCTAGTCCTTATCTTGAGGTCTCAAAGCACGAGTATCATTATCCCTGTTTTATAGATGGGGAAACTGAGGCACAGGGCGGTGAAGAGATTCCAGGTACAATTAATATAAACGCTTACTTTTTGCCAACAAACTCTATAGTGAGAATGTACTTTTTGTACAGACAGCACCACAAAGGTTGCTGCAGAGTTCAGAATGATAAAGAGGTACATTTTGAAGTTTTTAGCTCATCATATTTTGCTTGGAAAAATAACCCTTTTATTTTCAATTAACATAGTAGGATGCAATTAAGATGTACTGGTTACTGTGGAACCCCTTTGCTTTGTTTTGTACAGAGATTCATTATAAAAGAAAGGTGAACCTGTAGACACAATAATGTCCTTGAAGCCCATTAATGAGTTCCAAAATCTATATCACACCAAAGCAGACTCATTTTTAATTAGGATTTCTCCTTTACTAATGTCAAGCTTTGAATGTACAGTATTCTCATAACAAATTAATGGGTTGTATTAAAATTCATGACTTATTTTGGTCTCTGTGCCTTTCAGTGTCATTCATCATCCCCACTGCCTTTTTAAGCCAGTTATACCTGTTTAAAAGGGAGAGCTTAAGTTAACTAGTTTGGCAGAGCAATCTTGATCGTAATTCTGTTTGGAATAATCACAGTGTAAATCAAATTATGGCTTGATGCTAAATTTGTATTGCGAATTAATGTTTCAGCATTTGGTACTGCAGGCACAGCGTGCTGAAGAATGAGAGAGGGCAGTGCAGAACAGGCAAGAAAGTTGGCAACATGTGACCTCCAGAAGAAGGAAGAGGAGAACCCACGTACCCCCACTGCAGATAGAGGTAAGAAACCATTTTCAGGCTCTCTGCACAGGTACTACGGCGGAGAATGGTTTGGAAGAGTCATCTGAGGGAAGGGATCAGAAGGAGACCCCATCAACTGGAAGGCATGGAATGCATTGTCCTAGGGATGGGGGTTCCACGACCATGACACCCAAGAGGAGGAGATGAGTGGTGGTGGTCGGGGACTCCCTCCTCAGGGGGATGGAGTCATCCATCTGTTGTCCAGACCGGGAAACTCGAGAAGTGTGCTGCTTGCCTGGAGCTAGAATTCAGGATGTAACGGAATGTCTGCTGAGACTGATCAAGCCCTTGGACCACTACCCCTTCCTACTTCTCCATGTGGGCACCAATGATACTGCCAAGAATGACCTTGTGCGGGTCATCGCAGACTACGTGGCTCTGGGAAGAAGGATAAAGGAGTTTGAGGTGCAAGTCGTGTTCTCATCCATCCTCCCTGTTAAAGGAAAAGGCCCAGGTAGGGACCATCAAATTGTGGAGGTAAATGCGTGATTGTGCAGGTGGTGTCGGAGAGAGGGCTTTGGATTCCTCGACCAGAAGGATTGCTAGGAAGAGATGGGATCCACCTAACAAAGAGAAGGAAGAGCATCTTTGCAGGCAGGCTTGCTAACCTAGTGAGGAGGGCTTTAAACTAGGTTCACCAGGGGACGGTGACCTAAGCCCAGAGGTAAGTGGGATACTGGGAGGAAACACAAGGAGGAGGGTACAGCGGGGAGGCGTCCTGGTTCATACTGAGAAAGTAGGGCAATCGGCTAGTTATCTTAGGTGCCTGTACATGATTGCAAGCAGCCTGGGAAACAAGCAGGAAGAATTGGAAGTCCTGGCACAGTCAAGGAACTATGGTGTGACTGGAATAACAGAGACTTGTGGGGCAGTTCACATGACCAGAGCAGTGACGAGGAAGGGGGTAAACTGTTCAGGAAGACAGGCAGGGGAGAAAAGGTGGAGGAGTTACACTGTATGTAAGAGAGCAGTATGATTGCTCAGAACTCCTGTATGGAACTGCAGAAAAGCCTGTTGAGTGTCTTTGGTTTAAGTTTAGAGGTGAGAGCAAGAAGGGTGGTGTCGTGGTGGGCATCTGCTGTAGACCACCAGACCAGGAGGATGAGGTAGACGGGGCTTTCTTTGGACAACTAACAGAAGTTTCCAGAGCACAGACCACAGGCCCTGGTTCTCATGGGGGACTTCAGTTACCCTGATGTCTGCTGGGAGAGCAATACAGCAATGCACAGACAATCTAGAACGTTTTTGGAGAGTGTTGGGTACAACTTCCTGGTGCAAGTGCTGGAGGAACCGACTAGGGGCTGTGCTCCTCTTGACCTGCTGTTCACAAACAGGGATGAATTGGTAGAGGAAGTAGAAGTGGGTGGCAACCTGGGCAGCAGTGACTATGAGATTGTTGAGTTCAGGATCCTGACAAAAGGAAGAAAGAAGAGCAGCAGAATACAGACCTTGGAGTTCAGAAAAGCAGACTTTGACTCCCTCAGGGAACTGATGGGCAGGATCCCCTGAGAGGCTAATATGAGTGGGAAAGGAGTCCAGGAGAGCTGGCTGTATTTTAAAGAAGCCTTATTGAGGGCGCAGGAACAAACCATCCCAATGTGCAGAAAAAATAGCAAATATGGCAGGTGACCAGCTTGGCTTTACAGAGAAATCTTCGGTGAGCTTAAACACAAAAAGGAAGCTTACAAGAAGTGGAAACTTGGATAGATGACTAGGGAGGAGTATGCAGGGGTGTAATCAGGAAGGTCAAAGCACAATTGGAGTTGCAGCTAGGAAGGGATGTGAAGGGTTACAAGAAGGGTTTCTACAGGTATGTGAGCAACAAGAAGAAGGTCAGGGAAAGTGTGAGACACTTAGTGAGTGGGGGAGGCAACCTATTGACAGATGATGTGGAAAAAGCTGAAGTACTCAATGCTTTTATTTCCTTGGTCTTCACAGACAAGGTCAGCTCCCAGACTGCTGCACTGGGCAGCACAGTATGGGAAGGAAGTGAGTAGCCCTCAGTGGTGAAAGAACAGGTTAAGGACTATTTAGAAAAGCTGGACATGCACAAGTCCTTGGGGCTGGATTTATTGCATCCAAGGGTGCTGAGGAAGTTGGCTGATGTGATTGTAGAGCCATTGGCCATTATCTTTGAAAACTCGTGGCAATCGGGGGAGGTCCTGGACGATTGGAAAAAGGCAAATATAGTGCCCATCTTTAAAAAAGGGAAGAAGGAGAATCCAGGGAACTATAGACCAGTGAGCCTCACCTCACCTCGGAAAAATCATGGAGCAGGTCTTCAAGGAAACCATTTTGAAGCACTTGGAGGAGAGGAAGGTGATCAGGAACAGTCAACATGGATTCATCAAGGGCAAGTCATTCCTGGCCAACCAGATTGCCTTCTATGATGAGAAAACTGGCTCTGTGGAATAGGGGAAAGTGGTGGATGTGATATACCTTGACTTTAGCAAAGCTTTTGATATGGTCTCCCACAGAATTCTTGCCAGCAAGTTAAAGAAGTATGGATTGGATGAATGGACTGTAAGGTGGATAGAAAGCTGGCTAGATCGTCAGGCTCAACAGGTAGTGATCAATGGCTCAATGTCTAGTTGGCAGCTGGTATCAAGCGGAGTGCCCCAAGGATCGGTCCTGGGGCCGGTTTTGTTCAACATCTTCATTAATGATCTGGATGATGGGATGGATTGCACCCTCTGCAAGTTTGTGGATGACACTAAGCTGTGGGAAGAGGTAAATATGCTGGAGGGTAGGGATAGTATCCAGAGTGACCTAGACACATTTGAGGATTGGGCCAAAAGAAATCTGAGATGAGGTTCAACAAGGACAAGTGCAGTGTTCTGCACTTAGGAAGGAAGAATCCCATGCACCGCTACAGTCTGGGGACCAACTGGCTAAGCGGCAGTTCTGCAGAAAAGGACCTGGGGATTACAGTGGACGAGAAGCTGAATATGAGTCAGCAGTGCGCCCTTGTTGCTAAGAAGGCCAACGGCATATTGGGCTGCATTAGTAGGAGCGTTCCCAGCAGATCAAGGGAAGTGATTATTCCCCTCTATTCGGCACTGGTGAGGCAACATCTGGAGAACTGCATCCAGTTTTGGGCCCCGCATTACAGAAAGGATGTGGACAAATTGGAGAGGAGGGCAACGGAAATGATTAGGGGCTGGGGCACATGTCTTATGAAGAGAGGCTGCGGGAACTGGGGGAACAGACTTATTTAGTCTGCAGAAGAGAAGGGGGGGGGGCGGGATTTGATAGCAGACTTCAACTACCTGAAGGGGGGGTTCCAAAGAGGCTGGAGCTAGACTGTTCTCAGTGATGGCAGATGACAGAACAAGGAGCAATGATCTGAAGTTGAAGTGGAGCAGGTCTAGGTTGGATATTAGGAAACACTATTTCACTAGGAGGGTGGTGAAGCACTGGAATGGGTTACCTAGGGAGGTGGTGGAATCTCCTTCCTTAGCGGTTTTTAAGGCCCAGCTTGACAAAGCCCTGGCTGGGATGATTTAGTTGGTGTTGGTCCTGTTTTGAGCAGGGGGTTGGACTAGATGACCTCCTGAGGTCTCTTCCAACCCTGATATTCTATGATTCTATGATTCAGATTTTAAACAACAAACCATTCCTTAAAGTCTCTCGTTGTTTTGGCTCTCGCTCACATCAGATTATTTTTAATGAGCCAGTGGTAATGTTTTACAAGCTTATGTGA